AAAGTGTTCTAAATGCTTTAAATAAATTCAAAAGTATTGATTTGGTAAAAAGCTTTGAAGTAAATTTATTTGTTTACGAAAGTTTAAAAATTTGTCAAATGAGATTATCATTCACACCAGTCAATTTTATGATCCAGCTGAACAGTCACCTGATAATATAAATAACTTTCTTTAATTACAATTGTCATAATTCTTAACTTGCAAAATGGGAACACTTCAAATGAAATGATATCATTGAACTTTAACTAAATAGTGAATAATATAGCGAATATTTTAAAATTAGAACCAATGACTAAATGTGGAGAGACAACTCTTTAATGCATTGAATTAACTATTATTATAGTATATCTCCATTTTATCTTGTGTGTTTTATCAAATCAGAATTCATTATCATTCCTGCAAATGAGATACAAGAATTAATTTTGAACATTATAGTTGTGCTTTGTAATTATAATTGTGCTTTGAGTCAATACAATGATGTAACTCAAATAAAAATAAACATCCTTATATAGGTAGTACTTCATTAAAAAAATTTAAGAAGCACCTCAGAATTGGAACATTTTTTTAAAAAATTGGAGTGGGTAAAAATATAAATTATGAATTAAGTGTCTTTAATAGCTTTAGAAAGGTGAATCAACAGAGTAAATCATTTTTACATACCATCATATTTAGGAAGATCTAATATTGTAATGTCCTTCAAATTAAACTTTGTGGAAAGCAAATGATTCACCTCCAAGTGACCCTCAGGAAAAATTTGTTTGAGAAACCACCAGATGGCGACAGTGTCCACAATATGATTAATGCAGGTCTAACCTAACCTGTAGGTGCTACTTGAATTTGGACATTAGCAAAATAAAAAAAGAATGTTTTAAAAAGAAAATTCGTAACTTCTAAATAAATATATTCATAGCTTACAATGCCTAAATAGTATTCGACTGTTAAATTAGAACTTAGAATCCACTGGCCTATCTTTGGTGAATAATTTAATATATTGTATTAATATTTCTGAATCAGGACTTGATAACACTTTTAAGAATGACTAAAAGCACTACCAAATCCATGAACACAAAACACTTAGCACCATGTATTTAGCACCAGAATAGATATTAATAGTTTACAGTTAATGCAAAATTTAGTTTCCAAAAAACTTCAAAATTATACCAAGAATATGGTGATTTCAATTTATTTCCAGCACCATTAATAATTGAATTGTTAAACTTCTAAGTTTTCTATTGACCTTTTGTAAGTCAAAGTGGATTATATAATAATTTTAAGTCATTTCTATGTGTTTAAGTGGCTTTACCCACACATGCTATGAAAATACATTTAAAAACTAAACCATAAAAACACAATGTTAGACATTGGTAGAAATTTAACTATATTATCCTTAAACACTTTAGTAGGTAAAAATTTCTACCTGCTTCTAGGGTGGCATCATATATTACTGGAATGCCTACTGACCTGTTATATACTGGGAAATGTGAATAGGAATCTACACTGCAGTTTTCTTAGTGGATACATTCATTCAAGTTATCTGTTTACCTTGGGCAGTTATTTCAGAATCAGGAGAGAAACATAAAACATTTAAATAATTGACTAAAATGTGCAGTGGATTTAGTTACATCACTGTTATAAGTTGATTTAACACAAGCACATATAAAGGAGAAATTATGAAAATGCAGAAAACTTATAGAAAATAAATGTAAAATTAAGTTTAGTTTGATGCAAAATATTTTATGTGTATGCAAATTAGGGGTCTCCCAAAAGTTCATAAAAAATGGTTATGCTGGAAGAAACTGCATATATTTCAAAAACTTTTGCACAAAATAAAACTTTTAATTCCATCTTCCACAGACATTCTGAAGTAGCCTTGTCTGTTGTTTCAGTTCTGACGTTCTGAGTAAGTTACATTGAACAAACTTGCTCTAGTGGTTGTCAGCTCTGTGCTAATTCTGCACGTTGAAACTGTCCACTGAAGTGTGACAGGCCACAGAAGTGACCAGGCTTTGATTACGTAACAGAAGCACAGTGGTAACAATCATCATGGTAACTGTTAATATTATTTTTTAAACATTTTAAAGCAAATTTATCTGTCAAAAGCCAGGAATATTAAGACTATGCCAACACAATACAGAAAAAATACATAAAGAAATCTATTCACTTCATGGGTAAAATTGTACTTTCTTTCCTTTTTTTTTTTTAAGAGATAAAAGTATTTATCATGATGATGGGTTATATTTAGTTTAGTCCTGAAAAACGAGCTATACCATAGACAGGTCTAATTTTATAAAATATGTATGCTAATTACTGTTTGCTTTAAGTAAAATCTTTTCAAATGAAAACTTCAGTCCTGACTGTGAAGCAGCTCTTATGAAATAGATTATCCCCAGGTCCTTCCTGCTTCTGGGAAATAACTATACTAGCACCATTGTTGAATGCTATCAAATGTATGACCCACTGTGTTGGTAGTAGCACATTTTCATTTGCTTTAGCTTGGAAAATAAAATAGTTTACATGGCAATTTTATATAATTAAGCTTAAAAATAATAGATAGAATAACAAATATACCCGTTACATTTTAAGCGAAGTTGTTAAATTATAAATAAGCTTATAGGTCTAGTTGTGATTTTGAAGGTACGATAATGAAAGTATAATTTACAAATGTGTAGACCTCTAATCTAGTCTTAATCATATATTTGATTATCAAAGCCATTTATTTAAAGCACCTTTGTCTTAGTAAATCTTGGGAAGGTGGGATGGTGGGATTTCTCTTAATCCCTGATTCTAAACTTTTAGCTAATTGTAAAAATGCATTCATATAAACATTGTATTACAGCCCTTACATGAGAATTTGGAATAAATACAAAGAATTAGAAAGAGTTCCTGCTAACGAGAGCTCATATGTTAATGAAAATTTTGATATTGGTCAATTTCTATTAGTGTGGTAAATTACCTTTGTGGCAAACTATGAAATAAACAGCATTTCCATTACCATTCCTTTCTAAGTTGAGACAGCAAGCTGTAAAAAACATAGCGATAGAGTCTGACAGGAGACTAGCTGTCTTCATTGTGTAGTACTCGCCGCTGTTTCCATAGAGCTGCTTGGTCAAAGCAGGGATGGAAGGAAATTATGTCTATGTAAATCAGGAAACTGGCTGTCAATTACCTAAATATTTTAATTACTAATTCCCTCCAGCTACCTAAATAGCAACAGATAAATGTTGGATTAGGCATGCTATCATTTAATTACTTCTGTTCTCCGTTTTATTCTCCAAAAAATATTTTTAAATAGGGGTTGGTACATACACAAATAGCAGTGTTTTATCAAAACATTTGGATAACATATTTGTAAAGGAAATTAATTAATTAATTATGACCAGTTGTTGTTCACCAAGTAGGCCCAATTTCTAAATGGTGGATTTTTGTGACATTGGATGGATTTAATTAACTCTGTCATCCTTCAGTACATCCATTCTTAGAAACTGCAAATGTGTGTGCAATTTCAGGCAGGTAGCCCTCTTCTGTCATTTGAACTCTGGAACTAACTAGACTTATTTGTTCCATTATTCTTCAGAAGCATTATCTAGCCTAAATGAAACATGCATACATTTGAAAGCTGATGTGATTAGTTTCCAAACCCAGATATATTCTCTCAAAGAGATTTCATGAATACGTCAATATTACATTTCCAAATCACCTAAGTGTAATTTTCATAGTGACTTTGATTTTCATAGTAAATAAAGAGCTGAGAATTATTCTTTCACAGAAACATGAAATAAAATTGATAATGAACCAAAAAAAAATCATCTGAAGAGGGCTTGGTTGACAAAATTGTGGCTGAATATGGTGTGCTTGAAGGATCTTCATTAGGACACTGAAGCCCAACATGATCAGTTGATTGAGTCTCACCATATAACAACAGGCAAAAGCAATGAAGAGAGGAAATTATCCTTGGTATACACCCCTCCTCCAGCCCTGTCCTGTTCTGGGTCCCTTCACCCTTGCTAAAGGTCCTTAAGACGCTCCCTGCCCTCAAGAATCCACCCATCTGAACTTCTCCACCTGGCCTTTTGGTGCAAATATCTTGTTTCTGTGACTTTTCGTGACTTGCTTTCTGCTTGCCAAAATTAAAACTATTTAGTTGCCTTCTGAAATGTCTGGTAGGCAGTTGTCAATTCTATCCTTGCCTTTCTACCTCCAAACGCTGTCACTAAAGTTTCAGAACAATCAGTGGCTTTACAATTTGTATAGGATGGCTGATCACATATTCCAGCTACAGGTGAATGCTCCTGGAGTGGCCACATTCTCAAAACTTTATAAAAATCAACTAGTTCTTTAGGACAGGATCTGTGTCTCAATATTTTTGTACTATCAGAAGTTAACCAACAGAATGCCATGGTTGTCGTAAACACTCTACACATAACAAGCTGATATGATTTGACATGATAATGATATGATTTTAAGGATTGTTATTCATGCATATTCTTTGATGTACCAAATAAGGTAAAAAAAAATCTTCAAAATTAAATCTATGGCTTCCTATTAAAGTTATTTCTACATATCACTGGGTGTTATTTTGTATTATAGATAGGTGATGAAGATACCTCATCACCTCACATGTTCTTTAGAATGTGTTTTTATAATTTCCCTCAGGTTAATTCTCAAATAATACTATCTGTTACATGGCATATTATGTCTTTTATGTATATACATATGTATATGTATGCATACATATGTATATATATAAACATTGCAGATAAAATATCCATTTTTATTTCAAAGGAACATATTGACATAATTCCTAAAGAATGAAAGCTTTGGAGTTGGATGCATCATTACATAAATTACATTTTCATGTGTGATTAGAGGTCAAAAATAGAAATAGATGTCTTGATTATCCCACAGAATTAAAACAAACACACTAGACAAACATTTATAGAAATGAATTATAAAAGAATAACAAGATTATCATAAAATATGTATAATATGTGCAAAATTCAATATATATATGCCTGTGTTCCCTCAAACCATTATCTCCTGATGCAATAGTAAGCTTATTTAAACCAGTATAGGTAGTTTGATGTTACTCCTGGAAAACACAGGTTGTCAGTACAAGATCCACCATAACTTGGAGGACAAGATGAACATGGTACCCCTACTTTATATGGTGCTTCTCCAATCCAGTTGCCCCTAGAATGTGAAAAAAAGATAGCAATGGTTATATTCATTTTTAAGATTTGATGGATCTTATTTCCATGTATAAACATGGAAAGATCTTTTTGGGAATTTCAGAAAAGCACTGAAAGTTATTCGTTTGCAATTTTAACAGTAATATGCATATATCTTGCTTTTTAATACTTTGTGAATAAATTAATGTTGTCTTAATCTAAAGATAAGGCTCTACAGTGCATGACATCATCATGAACCAGATCACATCAGATTTTTCTTTTCATCTGCCACCTAGCATAGAAAACTTCTACATATATCAGGTGGTTTTCCTTTAAACGCAGCATCTTAAATTCTTTGTGGAGCAGGCATTTGGCCTGATGGTTTAGCTGATGCTTTATATTGAATCTGATATCTGAGTGCATAGATTTGAGTCTGAATCTACTATTGATTCCGACTCCCTATTAATACACACCCTGAGACAAAGTGGTAATGGCTTAGGAGGAATTTGGGGAATGGAAGAATTGACAGTAGCTGGCTCTGTCTATATGTCTCTCTGTTTTAGGCTTAAACATTATGTAGTGGGTAATAAGCCATCATATAAACAACCAAAAAAGTGCTATACATGTTTATAAGATTGATCTCTAGAGATTAACATGTATTAGCTGCCCAGTCTTCAGACAGTAAGATATGAAAAACTCTGTTCTTGGACTAAGAGAATAATGGCTCACACAGCAAAGGAAATGATGAATAGAATGAAGAAACATCCAACAGAAGAGAAAAACATAATTACAAACCATCTGTCTAAAAAAAAACCATCTGACAAAGGATTAACATCTAGATTTGTAAGTAGCCCCCCCAAAAAAAACTACACAAACGAATCAATTTGGGAATTGGTAAAGAACTTCAATAGACAGCTCTGAAAGGGAAACAGTTGAAAAGGTGCTCAGCATCAGTACCCAGCAGTGAAATGTAAATCAAAACAATGATGAGATGTCACCATCATCAGATGTCAGGATAAAGAAAGTTGGATGATATACACAGTGAAATATTATTCGGCTAATAAAAACAAGTGTCATTCTACCACATGTAGCAAAATTTGTTTAACTGGAGGACTTATGTTAAATGAAATAAACTGGACTTGGAAAGACAAATAACACCTATTATCCTATATATGTAGGAGTTAAAAATGAAAGGAAGGGAAAGAACAGGGAAGGGAAAGGAGGGGAAGGAAAGAAATGTTTGTGTGTACTATGTTATCAGTGCTCCTTCAAATATTGTTTTTTAAAAATTCTTCCGTATCTCTTCAAAGCAATGGTTAAGATTTTTATGCTACTGTAGTTTTAATTATCTTTGAATACTTTATAAGCTACTGTATATGGATGAAATGGTCATTTTTCCATTCAATTATTGAGGATAGCCATTTACTCCAATCCCACAAAACTGGACTCTTTTTTGCTTTTTTATGTAATAAACTTATTATTTGGTTTAATATTAAGCCTTTTACTATAATTATGTCATTTCCAAAGAAAAGGGAGAAGAAAGAAAGTGGGAGGGAATGAATTAAGGGGATAGCATGATTCCTAGAATTGCTTTCTCTGATATAAGGCAACTTATGCAAAATACAGAACCAATAGATACATAGGTGAACAAGCATATACATGAATTCTCATAAATGAAGTTGTATAACATTGACTAGCATAGTGGGAAGTGAAGACAACATTGCAGTGTGCATCTTTACTTTCAGATGAAAGGAGGACTACCAGTAAAACAGTTAAATATACCTTGACAAGCTGATACTAGATTTTCTACCTTTGTCTATACATACAATGCCATGATGCAATCAGATAGCAGAATACTAAACTTGCACCTGTTACTGAAGGACTGCACTAGTGTGATAATATGGTGGAAATAGTGGGAGGAGAAAATGGGGTGGTAAAAGGGGGAGAGAAAAGGGCAAATCCCTATACCAACAAAGTTGAATCATGGAAAATAGTAAAAATAGAAAAATTTTTAAATAAATTTAAAAGGCTTAAAAATTATATCAACAAATAACACTTAAACTGCTACAAGTTAATTAAAAGTACTTGCACACACAGAGAAATGATTAAAATCAGATCCCAAAACTTTTTTCATATGTAAGTTCACAGCTAGTGTTTCTAATTTTTTTTAGTTAATGCTATTATTTTCTGATAAGGATGAACACATTCAACTGATTACTGTGTGATGTAAATATTTTTCGTTAGCTATATTAATGACCATTACCATCATAATAAACCAACATTTCCATAAATGATAGCAAAAAATAGCCACAATTATGTAGTATTATTAGCACTGGTAATTGTAAGTAGAAGTAACAGGTGTATGATCAGGTTAGTAATTAGCAAGTAAAGAATTAAAAATATTAATGTGGTCAACTTCGTGAACAAAGTTAAGTAACCAGAAGAAAATCTGGTCATAAATAGTAAAAAAGTCAGAGTTGTAAATAAAACAGAAGAAAAGGAAATAAAACATGAAAACAAATGGTCCAAATAATGACTTACCAATGCATCTATAGAAAATGAAAATATCTTGATTAACCAGATTGACTACTTATGTAGAAGAAAATATCTATAAGATGAAGACTGGCTAATCAACTGTTTATATTACAAAGTGAGATAGACTTTTTAATGGCAAACAGTTCATATTTTCAAAAGCTATTAACTAAACAGCTAGAGAAATGTAGTTCAGAATAGAGAAAGCAGATGTTCTTTTGCTAGTTCACTCCCCAGATGCCTGCAAAACTCAACAGCCAAGAACTTAATCCAGGTCTCCCACATGAGTGATAGCAATCTACTTTCTGCAATCACAACCTCTTCCTCCCAGAGTGGGCATTGTCAGGGAGTTGCAGTCAGGCGCTCTAGGTAGGTTTTGAGCTCAGATAGTCTGAGCAAGACATCTTACCCTTTAGGTCAAACATCCACCCCAAGATGTAATCTTAAGATCCTCACCACAGCTAAATATAAGAGTCTTTCAGAATACTTTCGATGATGTCATTAAACTACATGAAAATTCAAAAGACCCATTCTGTAATGAGGGTAACTTATTCATTTATCCCAATCTTATCCTATTCCATATTCATAATCTTACTTAAATTCACATACTTATCCCAAACTATGCAAGTTTATGGTCCCAGTCTATGCTATGAGTCTCATGTTTTTGAAAATATTGGATGTAAATTTTTGAGTAACAGAAACTTAGGAAATTTACAATATGTAAATATATTATATTACAATTTTAACATAAACTACAGGTTTTATTGAAATATGATATTCAACAGATTAGCTCACTTTCAATCTCATTTTTCTCTAGTTCCATTTGATTAAATTCCTTTTCTTCCTCTGAGAAAAACAACTGTTCTTTTTCCCACCAAAAAAAATGTACATTTGTGATAACTTCATATTAGTGTTAGAAAAATTATGTTCTGATACAAGTCAGCATTTTAAAATGTTTTTCATTATCTAGGTTCCAGAAAAAATGGATCTTTATTGTGAATGTCAATGTAATATTTCAATCTCTTAGACCTGTAAAGCTGTAGTATACCTCATTAATAATATTAGAAAAATCCCAATCATTGACCAAAGATCAGAATAGATAAGCAAATGAAAGAAAAATTGTTTTGCTCATTTGGTACTATTTGGCCTATTTACGATGGGGGAAAGTATAAAGGCTTAATAGGAAAGTACAAGATGTGAGAATAAAAATATCAAGCAAATGTATATCTCAAATGCTTTTTTATAATGCGAGTGTAGTCTGTATTCTAATCATCCACTCCCTAACACCGATGAAGAGGGAACCATTGGAAAAATCACAGTGCAGTTTAGCAGGAACACTGACCCTGGCAGAGCACCATTTCAATGAGTAATGCAGTTATTCATGACATATCTTCTCAGTTCCTCCCCAGGCTGGAAGAACTGGAGAAAATCTTTGCTTGGATTTATTTTGGAAGACAACAAGGGTGTCATAAATCCTTTGCACATTTTGGTATTTATTCCAAGTGGGAACAGACGCGTGCATAAATATTGGAACATTTTATCATCTAAAGAGTTTTTATTATCAAGAGGTCATTTTGGCAAAAGTTGGCAAATGATTTTAATCTTCATATTATGAAAAATGCTTATGAGAATGTTTTGCAATTATTAATAAACTTCCTTGAGACATTTTCTGTGTGCCTTAAGATAAAGTCACTGAATATATTCTAACTAAAAAAAAGAGGTTTATTTGCAATATTTTGCCTTCCTAGTGAAAAATGTGAGCCAGCATTGTAACACTAATAAATAAGAATATTGTGGTATTGACAAATTCCTTAGAATATTTTTTCAGTGCCTTGGATATAGCAATGAAAATCCTGTGAACTACAGTGTTTATTTTACAGTCACTATGACTAAAGTTAGTTAGTAGGATTTTTTTGTGTCTCAACTTATTTTGACTACTATTTTAGCATAGAACCTCTGTCTTTGTGAAAAAAAAAAAATGTACCAGTTTTCAGGAATATTTGAGTAAGTGTGGAGTTGAGGACTACAATCCATTTTAGGTCTTCCTAATTATTATTTACCTGTGATAAACGCCTGTCAGCCTGAAAATAGTAAACACCATTAACAGATCCAGGACACAAAATCCAAGCAGGTACTTACTTTGGGGCATAGTTGCAAACCAAGTACACTGCACGTCGCCATACGGACCCCCAAACATTCATGTTTTGGCAAGTGTTAATTGCACATCCTATCCGATTGGAAGTGGCCCAAACCATCTGTTAAAATAAACCAATATATCATTATTGGTGTTGGTGTCAGAACTAGGAAAATGCATATCCACCAAAATGATGAAACCCTTATTTAAAAAATATGAATCAAAAGTTAAAAGAAATTATAGTAACCTGTGTATAATGTGTACACATGGGACCAAAACATCTCATTGGACATCTAGGGTTGCAATCCTGAGGGTATGGAAAAGCATAATCTTTCACTTCATCATACCATGGTTTGACCAGCTGGAGAATGGAGCGGTATCTAAAAAGAAAGAGAGAGAGAGGGAAACAAGTTAGAATGCTAAACTGGAAACATACATAAAAAGGATTTTTTTTTTTTACAAACATTTCTTCCTCATGAAGAAGAGACTTTGTCTTTGGAATATTACATAATGACATTCCGCAGTGGTAGAAAAGTTATCCTGTTAATGGAAAGAACTCTGTCCATGGCTGTGCACACCTGCATGTATATGTATGTGTATATATGTGTGTGTGTGTGTGATTATACAATATGCCTTTTAGACATATATAGGTATAATGTACATCATACATGGGTATAATCTATTTATATAATTACAAATATTTATATTTAATATGCATATGTTTTAAATTAATATGTACTTAATAATGAGAAAATGTGCATGTGTGTACACACACACACAGAGATAACTTCTGTCTCAGTCTGGGAATTTTTCTAGAAGAAGAGGAGATGGGATATTTCACATGCTTAATGCTTTTGCTGAAAGAAAACATAGATAAAAGACATGTTCCAAAGGAGAAAGGGCAATCTGGTATTATTGGGCCCTTTTGGCTAGTTAAATAATTCTTGAAGCCATGTAAGGTATTCATAGACTGAGCATCAAGCCTGACATGAGTGGAGTGCTCAATAAATACTTTATGATATTATTTGAAATTGGTGTCATGCCATTTTGGGTCCATAGTTACTAAATTCTCATGAATGAACACTACCAGTGAAACTGTTTCATACCTTCCAGTTCGTACAGATAGATTTTGGCCCAAAAATCTCAGTAAATAAGAAGGTCCATGGTCCCAAATGCAAGTAGCTGCCCAAGCCTCTGCAGATTTTGCAAGATTTTCATCCCAAACCTGTAAGAGTAAAAAAGGTTCAGCTTTCCTGGTTTGCTGGCAATAAGCATACTATTTTCAATAGTTATATTACGTCTGACTCCCGAGACTTAAAAGAAAGAAAGCAAGTTTGTACCATGGCTATCCCAAGTTCTATAAGTCAACTGTGATTATACTATCAAGTATTTGTCCCATACATTTGACATCTGGACTTCATATATAGTGGATGACAGGATTGGGTACAGTTAAAAAGGTTTTTTTGGAAGTTCTACAAATTTGGACTGAAATGAACTTTAAAAAGCACTTTATTTGGCTCATGATGGATTTATCTAGCAGATTTTTGTATCTGAACAATTTTTAATGGACTATACATTTACAGACTAGAGACTGCTGTTCATCACAATATGAAACAATCTAGGTAATATACAAATGCATTCCAGGTTGATTAATAGCATCAATAATTACATCTCCTGAAATTTTTTTGAATAATTTTAGTTGGGGAAAATATACAAACATAATTTGCATGTCAAACTAAAATATGCTCCTAGATCTGTGACTGCCAAAACCTCTTTTATCTTATTATTCTAAAATGTTAGAACATCATAGCACACTGACCTGAATATCACAGATCCTGTGTTCTAAACCTAATGCACCTGTCAAGATCTTTGGTGCTTGAAGCTATGTCAGTTATAATATGTCTCCCATTAACTCATCCATAAATCAGGAAGATGAGAGGATGTCTTATCCAGGGTCCTTTTCATTTGAACTGCTGAATTAAGCACACTTGAGTGTCCCCATGTCAAGGTTGGGGAGGTCTGTGTCCTGTCTGCCTGTGTTATGTTCAGCTCTGGCCCTCTCCATCCTACAGGAAAAAGCAAACCTAGATTCTTTCTAAAAACATAAAAAATCCAAAACATTTATTTTCTTTCATTTCAGTACCTGTTTATATGAAGTCATCATGTTGGACACATGATATAGATAATATAAACAATGAAAACAAAACTGTTCAAGACATTTAGCAATTTTACAAGTATTGCACCTTTCATAATCCCATCTTTATATTCTTCCTTGTATTTAGAACCTAAATACAGGGCATGTTACAGAGAAATGAAAAAAAAACTGCATTACCTGAAAAATATTTCACAAGAGTATGGTTTTTGTTTTTTTTTTAAGATTGGTTTTATTTTTATTACAAAGTCAGATATATAGAGAGGAGGAGAGATAGAGAGGAAGATCTTCTGTCTGATGATTCACTCCCCAAGTGAGCGCAACAGGCCGGTGTTGTGCCAATCTGGAGCCAGGAGCCAGGAACTTCTTTCCAGGTCTCCCACGCGGGTACAGGATCCCAAGGCTTTGGACCATCCTCGACTGCTTTCCCAGGCCACAAGCAGGGAGCTGGATAGGAAGTGGAGCTGCCAGGATTAGAACCGGTGCTCATATGGGATCTCGGTGCGTTCAAGGCGAGGACTTTAGCCGCTAGGCCACGGTGCCCAGCCCAAGAGTATGTTTTGTTAATTCTTATTCGTAAAAGGGATTTTAATACTTAGGAAATGTATCTAGCATTACTGATCCAAGTATATTTAGAAGTTTCTGTGTAGAGTATACTAGGTTTTGGAGAAGGTAGTTATGGAAGAGGAGGGAAAACTTCTTTCAAACAAATAAATACATGCTTAGTTTTTTTTTTTCTGGATACTTAAGGACAATTCAGCTGTACAATTTTTCTGACTACCTGTGAGATTCATTTTCAATCATTTTAATAATATATACTACAGTTTTATCAAAAGGAGAAAGAAGAGCACCAGAGTTCCCTATTTCTATGGAATATCAGGCAAAGAAACAATGAATTATTATTTTTAGTAGATAAACTTGTTATTTAGTTAGCTTTTATTCAATGACATTCCTATCCTTCTGAATGAATGCTTTCACAAATATTTACTTGTAAACACTTAAAATCTTGTCTCCTGAGAATGAAGCAAAAATTAAAGATGTATATGAATGCATAAAAACACTAACATGACCAAGTAGAGATATTATGACTAAATTAGATAATTTACAAAACAAAATGGCTCTTTAGACATGTCAGAGCTTCCATATTTTTGGAAGTCTGCATTGTTCTCCCAAATTGTTTTCATCCATTCTTTGTTATTAAGAGCCATTTACTTAGCTAATAAAATGATTGACTTAGTGTCGACTGAAAAATGTTCATCATGATCCATTCTATTTACTAACTAATTTTAAGATAGTTTAAGTTGGACACAGTATCTGGTTTTTGGATCAGCAGAAGCTGAAAGTGCGTAGTCAAATGCAAGGGGAAACTATAAAGTTCAAACTGATGCTGTTTAAATATCTAGAGGTGGGTGACCCCAGGAGACAGGCACAGTAGGAAAAGAATGCACAATATCCATCAGGTTCAGGAATATTTACAGCTTGAACTAAACAATTATAAGATTGAGCTGGACAGTGTGGGAGAAGGGTGTTTTTATAAGTTGACCAAATTGGATAATGATGTGAATCCAACCCAGAGATGAGTTTCTCTGAACAACTTCTTTGTAAGTGTTGAGATCCACAATAGGTGTGGCAATAGCCAGGAAATGTAGCGCAAATGGCATCTGAAGCTCCCTTCTGCAGCTCTCACCAGTATTTCTGACCAATCAGATATATAATCTAACTGGAAGACAATTCTAAAAATATCCTGGGAACTATAACCCTAATTTTCTTCCCTTAAGTGGATAATATTTTTAAATTTGAAAGATAATGTGCAGAAGCATGTAACAGGATCCAAATTAAAGTTTAAAAGCAGGGACATTTACAGCAGAGAATCTGTGTTTATTTTGTGTTCATAATACTTGCAGTGATTAAGGGAATGTGACCTGAACACTAAGAGTTTAGTTTTATATCTTCAAATTAAGATATGGAAATGAATAAATTCTTAAATGTGTGGTTTTATGTTGAAAATAAGAAAAAAAGGTTACATTTAAAAAATTACTGCCACATTTAGGAGAACCTAAGAGTCAGATTTACACAACTGTCATAAATATATGGAAAAGAACATTATCAATATGCTAATTGATACTAGAAGAAGATTAATAAAACAGTGAAAACAAGTATTTTGTGAAAAGAACAAAAGAATTTGTAAATTGAAGCTAAACATTTAAGGAAGAAATAATTTTAAATATGTGTTAAAGTGACTGCTGAAAAAAATCAATCACATAGTAAACATCTTAAAAGACATAGAATATTAGAAATGCCACATTAAACTTTGGGAGGCACATGGCTCTGATAGCAATGACATTTGAGACAATACTACATATATTGTGGACATTCATTTAGTCTCTAGCATATTTATGTGGCTATTTCTCATATACATAGGCAAACATGATAGCAGTATCCATGGTCAAAGGTTTGTTTTTGTTTTAATAGCTCAGTTAAGACATTTGATCTTTTATTCAGACTGGGAAACAATACTGATGGACAGAAGTGAAAAATGACTGTTACAAAGAATTAAACGATGGTAAAATTACTTCCCCTTCAGGTTGCTTCAAAAGCTTTAAAACACTTCATGGACATAATTGTGGTTCTGCTTTAAAACTAGTGTGTTTATGTTGATTAGATAGAAATACTTGTTAAATGCTTCATGATGGAGGCAGAGAGCTGAAAAGGTAGGAACCATTATTAAACAGGAGGTTGCAGACAAGCATTTGGTGCAGCAGTTGATACGCTTCTTGGGATGCACTTATTGCAGTATCAAAGTGCCTGGGCTTGGGTCCCAACACTGCTCCTAATACTGGCTTTCTGCTATTACAACTTCAAGGCAGCAGGGGATGGATGGCTCAAGTAGTTGGGGTCTCTGCCATCCCCTGGGGAAGCCCAAATTTAATTCTTCCAAGGAGCAGCTCTGGCTGTTGGGGACATTTGGAGAAGATAATACCTCTCTGTCCCTCCACAGCTGTTCCCCTCTTTATTCTGTCTCCATCTCTCCCCTTGCATTTCAAGCAAATATAGTCTAAACATGAAAAACCAAAATCAATGAAGATGCAGTACTGAAACTTAGGCCTGGAGATGGATTGCTTGTAGAAAGAGAAACAACTGCTCCAGAGAAATTCCAAATATTTATAACTCTACTTTTCAAACCAGCTCCTACAGTGTTACTCATATTTCTGAGTGATGATGCTTTTCTTCTACATTGGCAGTCGCTAACTGTGGCACATGGACCACCTTGTCCATTACTGTGACTGTTTCTCTGCGGCAAAAGCAGAGGTAATTACAACACAAACTATTAAGGCCCATAAATCTGAGCATATTTGCTCATGGATCCTGTACAGTAAAACCTTACTGACACACTTAATCTTGGTTGTTCAGGCCAAAAATCTAGCAGAGTCATCTTTGAAAGGATATTTAAGTAGATTGCTGATTAAGAAATTAAAGACAAAAAGACATAATACTTTATGCCAAGTGCTTTGAAATAAACAAAGATCTATTAAAAACATGTAAATTGTAATTATTGACTTGGGAGTTGAAAAGCAGAAGATCAGAATTGAGTCTCAGATTGGAAATGACAAGTGTAACTTAATTCGTAGATTATTTAACTAAAAGCAAAAAAAAAAAAAAAAAGGGAGAGGGATGGAGGAGCGAGGGAAAGAAAGAGACCAAGAAATTAGTAAATTTGCTCCACCAAAATATTACTCCTCTCTAACCAGTTGATTCCTTTTCAAGAAGGAAATGGGACTAATGGCTCTAGATTTTTAGACTTTACCATTTGGGAAAATCTACAAATCCTGATGTGTGAGGGTGCTTCAAAACTGTTATGGAGAATGGAATTCAAAAGAAGTTTGTTTTGGTGCAAGAAAATACAGATTCATCCATATGAGCTTCTCAAAACTGATAGAAAATGCATATGATGAAAACCTGTTAATAACTGTCAGCATCTTGCAACAAGAAAAAAAACTCTACAGAAGCTATTGTGGTATCCTTATATGTAAACTCAATCTGTGTGTGTGTGTGTGTGTGTGTGTGTTGTTTGT